CCCAGAATTCCCCAGCCAGCCATTCTGGGAGTTGAAGTCCACTCATCTTAAAGTGGCCAAGCTTGGACAATACTGCACTAAGGGTACAGAAGGTAGAGGTGATGGGTATGAATGGAATCAAGAAAGCAAAGCAATAATCAAGTTCTCATGGGATTGGAGAACTGACAACTACAGGATTACTTTCCTCACAATGCCCCCTCCCTGGTTCTCTTGTCACCCCTCTGAACCCTAGCAGCCAAAGATTTGTTGCCAGGTCAGGGGAACAGATGTGCCCATAGATGGCCAATGAGAACCAGGCAGAACTAATCCCCTGACCTCATCATCACCAGCACCATCAGATTGTATGGCAAGACATGTTTAGATAAAAGGGGAAATGCTACTTTAAAGCAAGACAGCTTAATTCAAATATAAGCTGCCTTTACAAAGGGCTGTGGATGAGATGTTTCATGCCATTATGAATCTGACCTGCTTTTCTGCCTCCCTCCTGCAGAAGTTAGCATTACATGGCCTTTGCTGAATTGTTTTTAAAGTTCCTTTCTCTCAAGGTTTTTTTAAAAAAACTGTCTATGTAAACATACTGTACTTTATAATACTGATAGCTGCGATTTTGATACTGTGACATTCTTACTTCAACAACAGCTTCTTAAAGACTTTAAAAAATTATGTTACTTCATGGAGCATAGTATGATCAGCATCATACATGTTTAACCACTGTTGAATAAACTACAATTAACATAATCACATATGCTAATCTATAAAGAAGGGTTTATTAATAGCAGTGGTTGAATTCCTACAACATTCTAAGCTACAAAGAAATATGTGATGTTTGAAATTAGACTACAAGTATGTATGTAAACTACTATAAGAAATTTCAGATATTTGATGGTGGAATTTATTCCATCAAAACTAGTATTAAATTATTTTTAATAAATAATTATTTTTGTAAGATGTATCCCAGCTCTGATAAATATACTAGGAAACTGTCGCAGGGATCCGTGGTTTTACAGATAAATTGATCTTGGTTTTTAATCTAGGGTAAAACAAATACTGTATATGGGATCAAGCAGTTACTTCCCCTTTAAGAAATACATGCCACATTTTCTCTAAACAACTAAACCTGAAAAGGCCATATCAAAAGACATAAATGGGACTACAACAAAAGTACTTGTTCAGTTGTTACTATCGAGAGCAGAAGAAGGGACATAGCCAGCAATTACAATGATTAATACAAAGGATATCACTAAGGTCTCTCTAGCTCAGTTTCTGAGATTTTACAAACAGCCCATAAGTGAAGAACAAGCCTGGGCTATTTGCTTCCACTGTTGTTGTAAAATGGATCAGATATTAGCTCAAGGATTGGATTCTGTAGTACAAATGATGATTCTAGATATTGATAACCTCTATATCCATTCTGATGGTAGTATATCTTTCACTATCAAACATAACTATGGTAAGAATTCTGATTAAAGTTACTAAAGTTACTCTGTCTCATTTATAAGTACTGTATGTGTTTTTACAATTTCTTATTTCCCCCAATATTTTAATATATTATGCCTTATCTTAATTGAGATGTTAAATTTTTAATGAAGGTACCTGGAAACACAGTCCTATTAATCATATTTGATGTGTGAGTAAATAGATGGGCAATTTTAATATCCTTTCAAAAGGGAAATAGAATAGGAAGTCACAGAACTCAAGATCATTGCAAATGTTTCTCTGTGACTAAGGATTATGAAAATGTAATGTTGTAGTATTTATATCACCTTCTAATTTGATTTATTCTTTTCCTTTCTAAAACCAAGCATTCCAAAACATAATTCAATTGAATTGTTCATAGAGCTAAAGAAAAGTAAATTTATAGAATAGAAAAGGTGCTTATGAAATGCAAGCAACTCCTGTTAATTCAAGATTTCAATCTTTATTTGATTTTAATGTAATCAAGGTAGCAGTTTGTATACTAATGATTAGTTTCACATTGCAGATATGTTGATAAGGATAAGCCATTGTTTGAAGGACAACACTGAGTAAGAGCATGAGAGTTAAAAGAATTCATATGAAAAACCTTGATTTTTATTTCTTCTCTTAAAATGATAGGTTTGATCTGATAACTTTTTTCTTTTGGAAAAGACCTCTAGAAGGTATAAACTATTGTTCTCGGTTTAATCATAGGAACAAACCACCAATTACTTTATATAAAAAACTGGAATATATACTATATATCAAAACATTGGAAGTCTATCATCACGCTTAAAGCCAGAAAAATGTGCATGTGCTAATTAATATTCTGATAATGTATTTATGCTGATTTATAGAAATAGAAATAAATATGATAGAAACAGGAGCATAGGAGCATATTCCTTCCCATAATAACTAGGGAATATATGCCTGCCCAGTCTGCTGACCAAGTAAATTCAACATCCCTGCCTCTCTGTTCTGATGTCTGTCTTTAAACTAGACTCTAAACAGAAGACAGTCCTCTGTAAAACATATGATTTTACAGTGATTTTTATAACACAATCCTACATATATCAGCCTACTTCAACCTGAGTTTTCCAGATGTATTTGACTACCATCATGTACCAGCAACATGGCTATGAAGGGAAAGTGCAGCAGGCTAAGGAAGAATGCTATACATATTTACTCTGGAGGAAGTGACTAATGTTGATATTGTTGTCCCCCCACCCCCCATTCCATTTGACAAAAGAAAGGTGGATTTCCCATGAATCCACAGTGGCATATCTTGATTAAGAACTAGGTTATGGTCCACAGAGTACTGTTCAGCTGTCCTTATTTGACAAGTTTTAAGAAAATCAGCAGTTGATCTATTATCAGTATCTTCCAGGGTCACCCTGAACATGCAACTAAAATTTAAGCTGAAATTGGCTAAAACATTTGTTTCAGATGATCATTTAAATCAACAATCAAGAGAGATTTTAGAAGATAAGGTAAGATGTTGGTGTTTGACACAATTGATGGCATTCTTTTGACATTAGCACAATAAGTCTATAGTGATTTTGAGGTGACTAGTACTCAAGTTTGGCCATTAGATAATTTATTTTTCTTGGATGGGGTTCCATTCTTCCTGTAGCCATGGGTACAAAATCTGATATTTTCATGGATTTATCTTCATTAGTGATGGCCTATGTAGCCTTAATGGCAAAAATACCTAATGCAGTAGCTAAAGCTGAGGACAATTCCACATCCGTACGGTTTCTACTCTGCTTCTATAAAGTTGACAGCAATCATTGTCATGTTCTCCAGCCTCAAATCACTTAGAACAACAAAGTAGTCTTTCTACCTGGCCAAGAGGAATGCAAGACATGCCATTTGATCAGCTTCCTATCCTTAGCTACTGACTACTGATGAATAAAAATTCCCTTGCCTTCATCCTACACAAAAGGAAAAGTCACTTTTTGCCCTTGTTCTCCCATCCATTTTGTCCATAATGCATAGCAGCATAGAAGTTGGTAAAAGGAAAAACTGTCAAGCCACCATGCCATCATTCTTCTGTTGCACTTCAAAAAAGTAATAGCAATTTAGTATGGCAATAGAATCTTTATCAGAGGAGTAGGAAAGATGCTGACATGAAGCCAGGAGCTGGAAAGTGGAATCAGTCAAGAGTTTCTGCCAGCAGAAAAACTGATTGACCACAAGCTTCACAGACCTACAGCATTGCAAAGAACAACCAAAACGAGCACCAGTTTTGCTCTGATTTCAGATACATCACAGCAGAATCAGGAAAACAAACCTTCAGTTCTCAAGTTTAGCTGATGTGTTGTAATAGCACAGATCTGGAACTGGTTCTGAACTGGCATACAGTCCTCATCTGGAGATGCATAAGAGTTTAGCCAGTGATTCATATATAGGTTACCTCAAGACTAGACTACTGTAATATCCTGTATGAGGGACTCCTCTTGAAATGATTTCAGAAGAGGCAGCTGATAGTTGCAGAGGCAGTGCTCAGGGCAACTCCATACTGCACATTTAACTCCTGGGCTAGGGGCACTGCATCTGCTGCTAAACTGTTTTTGAATATCTTCAAGACCTTATTGCTGTTTTATAAGGCAGCTTGAGAGTAGGGATACCAAGAAACTGCCTTCTAGATTAGCCTTAATGTTCTGTAGATGATACTCTGGCAATAGTGTAGTGGGGGTCTGACTTCCTCTCCCAGTTGAGATCAGGAGATTCCCAACATCCTTGCTTGCTCTAACCTTCTGGTTTTAATATTGCCAGCTACCTCAAATTACTACATTGGTTAATATGTTTTATTATTTTAACTTTTTATTGATGTGTTGTTATATAATTTTATTTTTAAACTGCTTTAAGGATGTCTAGAGAAATGAAAAACAGTAGCTAAATTCTTCTAATAGTAGTCACCTAGGCAACCACTTATTTATTGATTTTAACAAAACTATCCTACACTTTCACAATTAAGACAGATCACTCAGTATTTCCTTTCCAGTTGGCAGAATTATTAGGAAAAGCGATCTATAAAGCTCTGGACTGGGGAATCGAGAGCCACATGGAGAGAGAGCTGAGTGAGTCACTGGCAAAGCTAATATCCTTCATGCTCAAACTGAACACAGAGACCTCAAAAGCCACAGTTGCTTTCCAGGACGTAATCAAGGTCTTGTGCTGTTTCACACAACTTATTTGCATCTTTAGCTATTTATTGGTTCTAAATGTGATTTGCAAGAGTAGAAAAACAATTTTACCCATTCAGTGTGAAGTTTGGTTAAAGAAAGACAAAGAAGGGGTGAACTTGTCTATGTAGGAAAGATTTGCCTGCCTGCCTGCCTGCCTGCCTGCCTGCCTGCCTGCCTGCCTGCCTTCCTTCCTTCCTTCCT